AGAAAAGGAGTGGGAAACATGTAGTAGAACGGTGTGGAGTTCAACTATTCAGAAGGTTGGGAAACTCAATCTGGGCCTTGCAGCCTGAGGTCAGTCAGTGTCATGGGGTTCAGCCATCAGCTAACTGAGATCAGGGGTATTGTGTCCTCACTCTGTCTGAGCCATTAAATGGTAAACATACTATACTGAAATTTTGTTCACTGCAGACATGTTCTGGACTGCTTCTTGATTTCTATTTAATTCAAATGATTTAAGGGTGATAGACTAGTGACTACCACAGGTGGTCAGTTTCCAAGTTGTGCTTGATCTTAAGGTGTTGCTGATTATATCAGATGGGGTAAAGCACTGCGGTTGATTTGATGAGCTGTTTTCTCTATGTTACGAAGATGAGAATGTCTGTGGGTTGTTAGAGACACAGAAGCTAGGGTGCAACTATATCAGGAAGATTTGGGTGACAACCCAGAGATTAAACCAAGGACAGCCCAACAACAAAAATAAAAATGAGAAAACACTTAAGCAAGACACAAAGACAGACCTCTAGTTCACCAATGGCAAACAGTAGGGCAAATGAGGATGAAAAGGCCGATAGTGAACCACCAGGACACCCTGAACTCAAAGCACAGGAAGTAACAAAACAGATCAATCAGGCTCTACAAAAATTCAAAACAGAAATAATTTCCCAGATAACTATAGATATAGTGAGCAAAATGGAAGTTGTGATTCGAGACTCTAGAGCAGAAACTGACAAAAAAATAGATGAGTTCAGGACCATGATAGAAGCCATGAAGGCCCAGCATAAGAAAGAAATGGAAAAAATAAATGCCTAACATAGGAAAGAAATGGAATCCATAAAACAGATTCAAACAGATATCCAGGAGATTAAACACTCTATTGAAAGTGTACCCAACAGAATAAAAGAATGCGACGATAGACTCTCAGATATAGAAAAGATTGCAGTCAGTGACCATGAAAAGAGAGGTCTCTTAAAAGCAGTAAGAGATCATGAGAAATCGATCCAACAACTCCTAGATGATGCAAAGAAGAACATAAGACTGATAGGAATACATGAAGTAGCAGGAGAAAATACAAATGACTTTAAAAAGTTATTCGCACAATTAATGACCGAAAACTTCCCAAACAGAGGGGAAGAATTTGACATTCAGATAACTCAGGCATATAGGACCCCAACTAGCTGCAATAAAAAAAAAATCTACACCTAGACATATAATAATCAAGACCCCAGAAACCCAACAGAAGAACAAAGTACTACAAGCAGTAAGAGAAAAGAAACAAATCACATACAAAGGAAAGCCCATCAGAATCACAGCAGACTTTTCAACACAAACCCTTGGGGCAAGGAGAGCCTGGAGTGAGGTATTTCAAGTACTAAAAGAGAACAACCTCCAACCTAGACTGATGTATCCAGCAAAACTCTCTTTCAAAATGGAGGGGGAAATAAGACACTTCCATGACAAAGAACATCTGAGAAACTACATGAATACCAAACCAGCACTACAAGCAATTCTAAACAAGATCCTAGAAAAAGACAATGAAGGCAACAACACCATGAGGCCCAACAGAGCAAATCAAATAGGCAAGGCAAGAAATTAAAAGGAGAAGGTGAAAAAGTAAAAAGAGTCAACAAAAGGCCAATAACATGTCAATAATAATCAGTACATATCAGTTATAACCAGCAATGTCAATGGCCTCAACTCACCAATCAAGAGAAACAGACTGGCAAAATGGAATAAGAAGCAAAATCCAACAATATGTTGTATACAAGAAACACACCTAGTGCAAAAAGAAGTCCATAGACTGAAAGTGAAAGGATGGAAACCAATTCTCCATGTGACAGGAGCCCAGAAAAAAACAGGGGTAGCAATCTTATTTGAAGACAAAGCAAATTTCAAACAAAACTGATTCTAGTATTACTGATGCAGGACGGTACTGTATCATACCTCTATGAATGTAAAATATCTTTTACCTGCTTTATGATGCATAGTAGTAACCACGTTTCATCAGAGCTATAGTTAATGATATTCATCTAGAATGTTCTCTTTCCAGATGATGATTAAGATGCTAATAAAAAAAAAATGGTGCCAGGTACCACAATAGCAACAGAACTTTGCTCTTTTCTGGATATTATTCTTTTCTTGTTTTTTTGTTTTGTTTTGTTTTGTTTAATGGAATGTGCTGAATGTCTATAATTGTGTTCAGATGACTGCAGAACCTGGAAAAGCTGTTGCTGCTATCAATGCATAACATACTGCTATTATTAGTCTTTTTACATAAATATATATATATATACATATATATATATACATATATATATATATAAATTGAATTTTGGGAAACTTTAACGGTGCTGTCTACTTTGGAAAAAAGTTATCCCAATTTACTGTGTTGAGTTGGCATTGTACAGAAATGGACAGCCATACTGGTCTACAAATGTTAATTTTTTTATTTTTATTTTTCCATTTGTACAGGGGTAATGCATTGTACTAAATATGTAAGGTCATATCTACATGGGTTTGATTACAGAAACTAAAAAGTATTCTCTAAATAATGAAAAAAAGAATTAAGATAAGACTACAAGAGCAAGAAGCAATTTAAATATGTTAAAGGACCATTTTCATCTTTAGAATTAGGGATTATTTTAATCTTACATCATTGCGTTTTCTCTTTTACTTTCCCTTTTAGTTTTATGTTAGGATTCCCTATTTTTAACATTCATACAGAGATTTCTTTAACTGAAATACCGAATAGTTTCTCTGGTGTGGAAAACTATAATAGTACACAGGATCCTAATGAGATAATTAATAATGTGAAATAGGAAGTAAAGAGCTAAAGGTACAGGGAAAGTGGGAAGGATGGGGGAAAGGTAATAAGGGAGAGGAAAAAAATACGAGAAACTGAAAAAATGGAAATAAAGTGTTTGTAAATGGGGAGGGGAGGAGGCGGTGAAGAGAGGGCAGGGACAAGGGGAAAAAATGAGAATTAAGACCTATTATGTAAAGGTACAATATCCCAATGATGAATGTAACTGTATTGTATACCTAGATTGTACCAATAAACTTAATAAAAAGAAAAAAATTCTAAATAAAAAGTTTCAAAATTTCAATGAAGATATATTAATCAATCTTGCAGCTGATGCAATGCGCAGAAGGGTAATCAATATGATAGATGTCATGCAAAGTTCAGAATTATTTCTGTTGTAGATAAAAAAAACAAAAAGCTGAGATGTAAGGAAGATAAACGAAGATCCTGTATGGAAGTTTAATCAAGCACACATGCCCAGGAGAAGGGTGACCATTTATTTCCTTGACAGCAGTCAAGGAAAAAGATGAAGCAGGTTGAAGGTAATCCTGCCAATGGAAGACTCAGCATGAATCTTTTATGAGGCAGCCTGTAAAATAGATCATGTAAATTAAATTTCATTAATAGAAGTAGAGACAGTGTCTGGATCACAAGAGGTAACACTGTGTCAAGAAGAGTCATGGCATAAATGTGGAATTTGATTTTTTTTTTTTGGTGCCGGGGATTGAACTTGGATCCTTGCGCCTGCAAGGCAGGCAGTGGAACCACTAAGCTAAATCCCCAGCCCTGGGATTTGATTTTTAAGAAGAGTGTAAACTAATATAAAATATCCAGACCAGGCTGGATGATGTATGTTCTGAAAAATCCATTCAAAGCCTTTTGTGCAAACTGAAAAGAAGATGTGTTCAGTGTTTTTCCAAAAGGAAGACCTAGCACAGGTGCACAGAGTGAGGAGGTATAACCTGTTTGCCTAATAATTAGAGCTGATTAGCAATGTCACAGGACACGATGAGACACACGACACAGTGAGCTTTTGTTCACAGAAAAGTTGGGCAGAGACAGAGGGCAGACAGCTCATTGAAGGTCTGCTAGAGAAGGGGCTCTTATTTGGATAAGAGCCTGAGTAAGATGCCGAACAGGGGTTCAGTCCAATTCTAAGACTATGGAATCATTGAGGAAATCAATATACTTAAATCAGTGTAATGGAAATGGAAGATTATTGTTTTTTTTTTTTTTTTGGTTCCAATAGAGTATAAACTGGGGTTTTATTACCTCACCTTCTTCTTGCAGCTAGAGTGGTTTGTTTGTTTGTTTGTTTGTTTTTTGAGATGGGGTCTCATTATGTAGTCCAGGCTGACCTTGAACTCAAGATGTAGCTGAGGGTGACCTCAAACTTGTGGCAATCCTCCTGCCTGATCCTGCCATGTGCTGGGATTACAGGTGTGTGCCACCACACTTGGCTTGGAATGAATGAATTTTGAATGCATGTGCCTAAGCCAAGAAACGTTCCTATCTAGAAAGAGCTGTGACTTCTCTCATGACTTGATACTTACTCTATGTGTAGGTAACCTCAGGGCAAACTGCTCCTTTCCACTGACAACAAACCCAGCTGCAACCAGATGAGCCTACTGGGGAACCTGTGCTGCCCTTGTCTTTACTTCTCAGCTCAGCGGTGGCCAGTTGCCTGTTTAATTTCTGGATCATTTCATTATGTGCTTTATTTTCCAAAAATTTCTTGAACTAAGTAAAATAAGAAATAAGACCTTTAGGTAATTTGAGTCATTGAAATAAAATGGAACAGTGATTTATTTAGTGGTTCCACTGCCTGCCTTGCAAGCATTAGATCCTGAGTTTGATCCCTAGTACCAAAAAACAAAACAAAACAAAAAAACACTTCAAAAAACCATAAGTCTTTTTCTTTCAATGTTTTTTTTTTAATTTTTTTTGGGGGGGGGTCAAGAAAAATGCAGCAAAAATGAGGCCAGCTTCAAAACAAACAATCAAGACCACTGTTAACTCCATAGAAAATTCATTGTCCCGATTTGGTACAATCAATATTATACTTTTTCTGTTTCATGCCTCTTCTATTATCTCACAGGCATTTTAGGAAAATGAGGGAAAGACATTACATGGACCACTTCCTAGAAGCATCAGTTTACATTAACAATGGTGACCTAAATTACCTTCATGTTCACTGATGGGTCACCTTGTAGCAATGTCCACTCATACTGGATGATGGCATGGTCATCTGAGCTTTCGCGGCCATCCAGGATCACTTCATCTGTGGGCAGATGCAAAACCACATCCTGTCCAGCCTTGCTAAGTGGAGGCGCATCCTGGTCTATGAAAGAAAAAAAAATAGTCATAATAGAGATGGCTCCCTATTTTTTTCTAACGTATGAAGAACTATCTTATTTGGTAAATAGATTTGATCCAGCAAAGAACTGCTAAGAGTGAATATTCACTGGAACTTATCTTCCTAATGACTTTTATTTTATTCTCTTGACAAAATAAACAACAACAATATGTAGTGAATATAGAATTTGGCTATGATACACACAGAAGAGGAAGCATGGAGTGTCAACTGTTAACAATAGCTGTGGACAAAGTCATGGGTACAAGACAATGTGCTGAGGTCCACCAAGGTGTAAAGTAAAAGAAGTAGTTTTAATTTCTGTAATGAATGTTTTAGTGAACAAATGACTGAAGTTCAAAGTTCTAGTAAATGAATTTATTTTTTAAAAAGATTCTTAAAACTAACCTCAGTAAGACCAAATTTACTTTTTATATATTTTATTTTTTCTTAACTTCAAGTTTTCAAAATAAGAGTGATATGGAGTGTTCAACAGAGGGGAAATATATTACATTAGGAAAGTTAAGGCAATCTTGGATCCATACTAAATAAAAGTCTATAAGGAAATTCTCTGGACTCTAGTTTCTCACCCAGGAATACAGAGGTTTAGAGAACCTACTAACTAGTTTTTATGACAGATTCAGTTTTATGAGAGTTTTTGTTAAGATGTCCTAAAAGAGCAAAACGTATGTACAGAGTCTGTCAAAAAAAGTATACATCAGAGAAAGAAAAACTTGTGTATTTTAAATTTATTGATACACCATGAGATTAATTAATACAAGTTACCTTTGGCTTCTGTGGTTACAAAAGGAATTCAAAGTGGAGGCCATTAGCTTCCAGACATTTATTAGTATGGAAAACTGCTGAGGTGTGCATATATATTTTTTGGTGGACTCTATTTCTGCCTTTGCTCTAGAATATGGCTAATAATTTAAAGTTATAGGATTGCCTCAAGAAGATGAACCCCATCTTTTTTTTTTACAGTATAGTTTGCACGCTTAATGTCCTCTAAAGGTCCACGTGATAAAGGATTGGTCTTCGGGTGGCACTGTTGGGAGGTGGTAGAATCTTCACATGGGAGGCCTGCCCTTGAAGGGGATTGTGACATCCTGGCTGGCCCTCCCTTTGTTCTGCTTCCTGTTTCACGATGTAGGTGGTTTGCTCCCCGACAAGTTTCTCTCATGACGTGCCACCCTGGACAATGGCCTGATGCAATGGGGCTACTTGGTCTTGGATTGGAACCTCCACAACTGGGAGCCAAAAATAAGCCTTTCTCCCTGTGAGGTGTTTTGTTATAAGTGGCAAGAAAGCTGGCTAATAAAATCAGTAACTTGGATTGAAATGAGCCTAGTCAACAACTCCTTGCCTAAGAAGAAACTTGCTCTGTCTTTTTAGTCTCTGAGGAAAGACTGAGAGCCTGATGTCTTTATTCCAATTCTCCCACTCTAAGAGAAACAAGACATCTACATCATAATAGACCTGCTCTAGAATGTTGACCTTTCCTTTGATTCTGAAAGGTTCACAATTGCTGCAGACTACTTTACCACTTCATAATTCAGGGAAATAAATATCTTATAATTCAGCAGTTGTTTTATAGTTGACAGATATGCATTAACTATACATTTTTTGTGGTATTGGGGATTGAAACTAAGGCCTTTGCACTGAGACTTATCTCTAGTTCTACTTATTTTTGAGACAGGGTCTCTCTAATTTGCCCAGGCTGGCCTTCAACTTAGAACTCTTCCTGCCTCAGTCTCCTGAGTAACCAGGATTATAGGTGTGTGCCACTGTGCCAGTTAAAACACTATTTTTAAGTAGACACACTAAAATATGGTATAAAGAACGCACACTAATAATAATTTTAAAAATCCCTCAAAAGGTTTATCTCAAAAATTTGACATGAATCGAATAAGTGCTGAAATATCCCACATATTCTAAAACTAATTAATCCTGCCTCTCCTGAGAGAAAAATCTCGTAGTCATTTTTTATTAAAACAGATTTAAGATATGATTTATGAACCTAGTGAATCCTCATATCCTCTCAATTGACCTCTGATGTATTTGAAATAACAGAGATAATGCTTCTTCAGTTCAGGTCCAGGTCAATTACACTGTGAAATGTATTTTACAATAAGCAGAGCCTTTCTACCCTTAACATAAACACATAACAACAGGAAAAGGACACGCCACCACTTAACAATGGCTTAAAGAACAAGGAAAATGTAATTAATTTTGAATTTTCATTTGTAAAATGTAATAAACCTATGTTAAGTACTATGAAGACATTGATTTCTTTTGAAAACTAAACACCATTGGTAAGACCTACAGAGGTAAAATAACACTTGCAATAATTTAGATAGAATGCATTTAAGGCGGGATTTTATCCAGAGAAGAATGATATTGTTAGTGGTCCTATTCATAACACCCTAGGAACAGAGCCTTCGTGACAAGGAAGATGATCTGGGTCTCTGCTGTGTGGGCACAAATGAGAGAAACCAGGCCAAGAAACTAAAAAGGATCCCAAGTGAGGAACAGAAGTAGGGCCAGACTGAGGGAAGAAGCCCAGATATATGAGTAAAAACCATCATGCGTTTTTTAAAATCTAACACTTTAGAAAAAACTTACCTATGACCCCAATATGATCATAACTGTTTTTGGTATATGTTGTTCTACTCTTTCCATATAATGCTAATGACCATATGTGATTATATTAATTATAATTCCTGCCGTTTACTGGGTAACTTCTTTTGTTTCAGGCACTATGCTAAATTTATAGGCATAACTTCCATTAACTTTCACTAATAATCTCCGAGATAGGGTTATGATCTGTATACTACTGATGAGGAACCTAGCTTCAGAAGGCTAAGTTAGTGCCCTAAGATCACACACAAGCACACACACACACACACACACACACACACACACAAACACACGATCAATTTATTGGCTTATGGATCAGCCTAAATATTTCTTTTTTTTTTCAGCTTTAATTGAGTTTATTGGTACATTTTAGGGATACAGTACAGTTACATTCATTGTTGGGATCTTGTACCTCTACATGACAAGTCTTGATTCTCATTTTTTCCCCTTACCTCTGCCCTCCCTTCACCCCCTCCTCCCCTCCCCATCTACAAACACTTTATTTTCATCTTTTCATTCTCTCACATTTTTTTCTTTTCCCTTTTTACTCTTCCCCTACCCACCCCACCTTCCCTACACCTTTAGCTCCTTTCTTCCCATTTCTAAATGTCAGTAATCTTATTAGAATCTTATGCATTGTTGCAGATTATTCACACCAGGGAAACTATTCGGTACTTACACATGTGTGATTTATTTATTTCACTTAGGAGTATATCTTCAATATGTATCCATTTTACTATGAATGAATCTATTTTCTCATTCTTTATGGCTGAGTAATATTCCATTTTATAGAAAAAACCATGTCTTCTTTATCCAGTTTCCAACAGATGGGCAAATGGGCTGATTCCAAGATTTAGCTATTACAAACTGTGCCGCTATAAACATGGGTGCGCATACTTCTCTGTGATATGATTCTTTTAGTTCTTTTGGAAAGATACCCAGCAGAGGGATGGCTGGGTCAAATGGAACCTCCAGTCCAAGCTCTTTGAGGTATCTCCATATTGATTTCCATAGTGGTTGCACCAGTCTGCACTCCCACCAACAATGGGGAGTTCTCCTTCTCTGGAGAAGGGTTCCTTTCTCCCCACAACCCTGCCAACATTTGTTATTGTGTGATTTCTTGATAGCAGCCATTCTTTGTGGGGTGAGGTGGAATCTCAGTGTTGTTTTCATCTGCATCTCTCGAATGACCAATGATGTGGAACATTTTTTCAAATATTTTCTTGCTGCTTTTACTTCTTTGTCTGAGAAATGTCTGTTCATTTCGGATGCCCATTTTTGAATCGGGTCTTTATATTTGGGGGGACTGATTGTTTTGAGTTCTTTATATATCCTTGATAATAGTCCTTTGTCTGAGGAACAGCTGGTAAAAATTTTTTCCCACATTGTAGATTGTCTCTTAGTTCTGCTGATGGTTTCTTTTGAAGTACAGAAGCTTTTTAGTAAGATGAGATCCCAGTTGTTGATTCTATCTGCTAGTTCCCGTGCTACTGAGGATTTGTTCATAAAGTCTTTTCCTATACCAATGTCTTGCAGAGTTCTGCCTAACTTACCTTCCAGCAAGTTTAGTGTTTCTGTTTTAATATTTAGATCTTTAATCCATTTGGATTTTAATTTAGTGCATGGCGAAAGATAAGGGTCTAATTTTAATCTGCGGCAGGTTGACATCCAGTTTTTCCAACACCATTTATTAAAGAGGCTATCTTTCCTCCACTGAGGATGGTCAGCTCCTTTGTCAAAGATGAGGTAGCTGAGTACATCTGCATTTCTTTTTGTGTCTTCCAGTCTGTTCCACTGATCCTCAGGCCTATTTCTTTGCCAGTACCATGCTATTTTTATCACAGTGGCTTTGTAGTATAGTTTTAAATTGGGAATTGTTACACCTGGTGCCATGTGTCTGTTGCCTAAAATGGCTTTTGCTCTTCTAGGTCTCTTATGGTTCCAAACGAATTTTTGAATTTTTTTTCTAGTTCTGTGTAATATAGTGTTGGAATTTCAATTGGCATTGCATTGAATGTATATAGCAGTTTTGGTAGTATCAGCCTAAATATTTCTAACTCAAATGTTCTTTCCACTATACTTGGAGGTACTGTAAGTGTAGTCCTCTTGCTATAGATATAATTTTACATTCAGAATTGAATCTATTAATGTATTGATATATTCTGTTAATATTTACTCATTCATCCTGGCACTGCCCATGTAATCACACAAATTTCAAAATTATTATTTTAATTTCCTAATCCTAACTACTGGACATTTATCTTGTTGCCAACTTTCCCCCCACCATTATAAATAATGCCATAATAAATACACTCTAGGGCTGGGGATTTGGCTCAGTGGTTCCACCAACTGCCTCACAAGCACAAAGTCCCTAGTTTGATACCTGGTACCAAAAAACAAACAAAAAAACCCAAAAATAATACACTTTTGCTTATACTTTTTATTTATTTTTGCTAATGTTTTTTATTAGCACAGATCACTTTCCTGAAAAATGCTTCAGAAGAATGAATAGTTTAGTGTACTCTGGTATATATTTCCAAATTGATTTCTCAGAGGGTTGTACCAGTTTATACTATCAGTAACCATGTAAAAGTACATAGTTTCCACGTGTGCTAAGTTGAATAAGGTTATTTTTACCTATCTAATAAGCACAGACTGACATTATTTACATTTCTTTGATTACTTCTAAGTTGAAAATTGTTTCAAGTTTATCACCCACACTTCCTGTTTGGGAACTATTTGCTCATGCCCTTTGGCCATTGGTTTTTGCTTTTCTGACTCATAATTATTTCATATTTTATCAGACTCTTCTTTGCAATTCCTTTTGCTTCTTGACAAGAAGTTTATATACACATAAAGCATGTTCACCTTTGACCTTCATGACAACTTGTGCTGGAAGGCAAGCAGGCATTCAAGTCCATACACACACACACACAATTTTTTTCTGTCCTCTTCCTTCATATCCTCTTCAATGGATTAGAAAGCTATTTTTTTTCCCAGATACGGTATGTAAGAGCAGGTTTATCTTTCAGTTTTCCTATCTATGGAATAAACAGGGGCTTATTTAAAAAAAACTGTTTAGAATTGTAGGTCTAAATGTATTTCCCTCAACATCGCCAACTAGTTATATGAATATGACTTATTAAATAGAATTGTTTATTTATGACACAAAGGGGAGAAGAAGAAAATGTGAGAAAGTACAGGATATTGGTAGGCAGCTGGGGCGGGATTAGCCCTGACCTGACCTCAAAGGTCCAGTCCTTCCTTTGCACTTGGAACAGATGAGAGAGGCTGGTGTTGGGGGCAGCAGGTGCTCTGCAGAGGGGAGAGCAGAGCTCTACTTAGAGGCTTTGACTTTCTCTAACACGGAAGGGCCGATTTCCCAAATTCTTCCCAGATATACTGGATTTCAAGCTATTCATGCAAACAACATGAGAATTCTGGTCCCTGAGCCCTGGGCGGTTAAATTCACAGCTCCTCTAAGACCCTAACTACCCTGGCTTCCACCTCCCACTTCCTCTCCCACAATGCTTCACTTTCATCACACCATCCAGTCCTCCTGCACCTTCCAACCAGGGTCCTATAACAATACCGTGGACATGTGCACCCTTGATCATCATGACAATTTGTGCCAGAAGGCAAATAGGCACTCAAGTCTCAAGGGCATTAGCAAGGACTCATAAGGGGGAGCAGATGGGTCTAATACCCAGGGTTTAGGACTCTAAGCACCCTGCTCTGCTCCGTCTGCCATAGCAGCCAGGTTCAAACAATTCATCCACCCAGCATCTCTCCAGTACCCTCCATTCATTCCTGCAGTTTTCCACCACCCGCTACAGCCCAGCCCAGGGGCTGCAGATTGGCAGAAGCTGATGGAGAAAGCACAAGAGCGGCTCCATGACTCAGCTCCATAATCCACTTGCTGTGTGGCCTTCCAGCAAGTGGCTTTCCCTCTACAAGCCTTCGTAAACACTGGGGATATAACAGAACCTGGATCTCGGGGCTACTGTAAGGACAGATGAGTTCATGTACAGAAAGCACTTACAATGGCTCCTCACACCAAACCCAATAAATGTGGGCAATAAATAGGCCGGTGGGTTCAGCTATAAATTTGTGCTAGTGTATCCCATCTGATCCTGCCCTAGTTCTTTGTGATCCTTTATTTGGACCTCATAACAACTTCTCTGAAAGCATTTTCACTCTCTTCGAGCTTCCAACCCCACATGCTCTGAGATTCAGGATAAAAAGAACTCAAGAAGGCAAAACTGAGTCTCAGAAGCCTAAAGGACAGGTTAAACATCTGGGTGAAGGAATCCCAGAACACAGGGAAATAAATATCCTGCATTCTCCCTGCAGAATAGGTGGTGGGAGCCCCTGCAGTGGGGTTGGGGGCTGCGCCTTCAGCATTTCCACATTGTGGGGCACCTGAAGAAGGCTGAACTGGTCTCCCACAAAGGAGACCACCAGCAGTCGCCTGTTCTTATCTTAAGATATGTACAGAACATAATTCCCAAGACAAACTCTCCCTACAGAAGAGGACAAAGATGGGAGTTGGAGAAAAAGCGATCAGAAAACTGCTATAACCCAAACTTGCTGCTGTTAATGTCCCCATTTATTTCCCTTATTCTTGGTTTACAGGAAAGCTCCTTTGTAATGTTAGTTTCTGCCAGATAAGCAGTGAGAACAAGGGGAAAGAGATTGTTTCTTTGCTGCTGGGTGCCATTTGGGCAGGGAGGAAGGGTAATGCTGTAAACAGGGGGCAGGGCTCAGGGTGGCTGGGTGCGGGTGGGGTTCCAAGCGCTAATGCTGTTTGCCCCAGCTTCAGAGGAACCCACGGATCTTTCCCAGTGTCTGGCCCAAAGTTCTTGCAAGGTAGCCTTGTGCCATGTGAGCCTCGCTCAGGTGGAGGTAGGAGAGGGAGGCAGAGCATCATGGGCAGAGATTTCCTGACCCTTCTGGGTGGATTCTCATGGGGAATCCAGAAGCTGGAAGTGACTGTCTTGCTCCCCGATCTTTCTAATGATGTCATTCATGTCATTATAAATCAGCCACCCCCAGTATGAGGGGACACATTCAGCTTGATTGCAAGGGAGCTCAGTCAAGGGTCTCATTCACTCAGGGACATTAATTTCCAACTGTTAGAATTTTTTTTGTGTGCCTCCTGTGTCCCGACTCATTTACAGCACCCTCAGAAAGTAAAATCATACAATTGCATTGTTTTTAGCTCTTCTAAAAAGAGACATGCCTCAAATCGTTATTTTCATCCAAAAATCAAGGCTCTCTTTTTCACTCTTTATCAAATCGAACAGTACTTTTCCTTTCTGCCTGATGAAGCCAAATCATAGAAGAAGAATCATGAACTGCCACGTCTCTTGCCATGACAAGAGACAGAAGTGGGTATTAGGAGCAATTTCACATTTAATTAGATTTTGTTTCTGCAATTACCTGACAAAAGCCATGCATTATAAAACTGAGACTAAAATTTTTTTTTCTCTGAGCTTTTCTCTTCCTCTTACAATCCAATTTCGGTTAATCTCTCAGATCATCCCCCACCCCCACCCCCGAAAAATTTCAGCAGCAGCCCACTGAGCCACGGCTGTCAATCTACCGGGGTTTTCAGGCACCACTCCTAAGCCACTTTCCTGGTCACCGGCAGCCCATATAACTTGAAACGAGGAAGGGAAGCTCAGCGGTCTTGTTCAGGTGGGTCTTTAACCCGATAGGAGCAAGGACAGAGCCGCCCTGGAGGGCTGAACCCGGGACTCTCACGGGCCAGCGCGAGCGCGCTTACCCAGCTCTGGCGAGGCCCCTGCGGTGGCCTGGACCAGGGCGACGGGTCGGAGGCCGCCCT